GGTGTATTCGGGTATATGGGTATATGGTATATTCGGCATTTTTTAGTATTTTTAAATATTTATATATATTAGTATATTACTAAATTTGAATCTCATAATCGATTACAATTTTTCTTCTTTTTGAGGCTTTATCTTCATACTGAACTCAAGCAGTCTGTCCAAATCAAAAATCAAACTACGCAATGCTTTTCAGGCAGCCCTCGTATGCATGCCTATTGCCAAACAGATAATGCTGTAGAGTTATTCCTTTGTCTGCTTCTGTCAGTCTGACACTTCACACATATTTGCTCCTTATCTGTTTTTTATTAGCTTTAGACTCGGTCTCTATATATTTATTTATCATATTTATTGAATATATAATATCTGTATATTCATATACATATATACATATATTCAATATTTGCTCTCAGCTGCCGTCTGTTATTCATTTTTTATTAGCTTTAGACTTCGTCTCAATGTATTTATTTAYTATATCTATTTACTTTTACGCTTACGACTCATGTTTCAATATTTGACGGGTGTATTTACTCTACGTAATCCTTTCAGTTTTTATAGCTTAGAAACTACTTTATTTACAAAATTAATAATGGAATTTTGTTGCTCCCATACTTTCAGTTGAGCTCTCATATTCGATGAAGCTGCTGCTGTTTAGTTGGATTTAAAAAGTTTTGACTTTTATTGCATACCTGAACTTTTGAGGGCACGTTCCTCCTGGGTGCTTAAGCTGGATTTGGGTTCCATTTTATGCTTCGGACTCTCACAGGCAAACTGCAAGCAAAGAAGTCAAATAATCAATGTAAGTACATAATAATAGTTTGCTCTGGCATTTTGAAGCCCCTCGTACACCCACCCGCCCAGCCGCCCCGTTCCGAGTTGTAAGTTAAGAGCTTAGGGTAAAAGTTTGCAACATTTGATTATACAAGTTGGGTAAGTAGTAGCTAAGACCATCATCAACGCAAATTCGCTTATGGGTCTTACGGAGACGAGAGTCTAGAGTCTGGAGTCTAGGGTCTAGAGCTTGTGCTCTATTGTTCTATTGGTTGATTTGACGGCGAGTATTTTGTTGACAAGTTGAGGAACATATTTAAATCAAATCAAAGTTTCTATGAGCCATTTAGCAAAACAATTCATGTCAAGTGGCTTGTTCAACGCTCTGTAAACAATGCCCTTTCGTGCGAACCCGTCTTGTATTACATCAGACAGAGGCAGACAGGGAGACGGACAGACAGTTTGGCCAACATATTTGGGCCCACAGTCTCTACGAGCAGCAAATATCAAGTATCAAGTTTTCATAGTCAGCAAATACTTGAAGCGAATTCACGCCGACATTTATATACCTACACACATGCTGGAGTGTATATGTATGCGTGTGTGTATGCATGCGGGCTGAGCATAAAACATCGACGACTTGCTTAATGGAATTGATTTTGCCTCGTGGCAATTTGACTGGCAGCCAGGCAGATTGGCATTGCCTCAGGATAATTGCTGGCACGGTCCATTAATTTCTAGAGTATTGCAATATAAATTCATATATACATATACAAATATATATCTATATATTTATAGCTGTTGTAATTCTCGTAGCTATAAAGTTGTGCATCATGCCGCCTAATTGCCTTTTATGACAACGCGAAACATTTGTCGACGCGCCTCTAAAGCCCCGCTGACTACCTGGCTTGGAATCGACGAAAGGATAATCGTGGGAGCAGTTCTTCAAATTAATGATAGCGTGGGCCTGACAATTCCCGACAATGTTGTTTGTCATTGTTGGGGTTTGTTTATTTTTTGTATTTTTTTATTTTTATTTTACTTTTTTTCGCTTTTGCTTTTGTTGTTCCACTTACATAGCTGTAGTAGCTTTTCCCTATCTGTCTATCACTCTCGCTCTCTCACACTGTCCTTCTCTCTCTCTCTCTCTCCCTCTCTCTCTATCTCTGTCTCTCTCACTCGCTTGCCATCCTACTTTCTGAGTTTGACGGATTTGTGCGCATTTTCAGATTAATGCTGCGATTATTGTTTACCGTTGGAATTGTGTACAGTGGTGCGTATACGTAATTTCATCATTGTTGCCTATGAAACTTTTTAATCTCTGCGATTGTCGCTTTTGCTGAAAATTATATTTTTATCGGTATTTAAATTGTGATAATTGTGGAAGGCAACTGATGACTTATTTGCCATATTTAATAATTAAATAATTATTTATGGATTCTGTAAGCGAATGTACTAACAATAAATACTATTTTAAAGAAATAAATACTATTGTTAATATATAAATAAAATTAAAATGTGGAATATATATAAGTAGATATCAATTTAAAATAATGTATGGTATCTATTTTTGTATTTTTCAGCATTTTATATAACAACAGCCTTAACAGTATATTTCTTTTTTAAGTTATGTAAGTACTGTTATCCGTTAATAACTTGTAAGTATTTACAAATTTTTTATATAGTTTTAAAAAATGTTGTATTTTAAGTCTTAGTATTTTTCTTTCTTTTTAAGTATTTTATATAATTAAAACTTCGGATATATGTATAATAGTAATAGCAAAGTGGAAGCTGCAAGGTCTCTAAATAACTGTTTTCTGGCTTTTCACTTGCTTTTACCATTTTCACTTAGGACTCAGAGAACAAAAGCTACGCGCATTGAAACAAAGTAACAGATGTTTCGCTGCAAAGCAATTGATCCACTGTGCAGCGGCGAAGACGACATTCGCAGGAGCGTTGTCTTTTATATGCAAAATTTAACCCAGAATAGAGAGTCCTGTGCGCTCGTTGGGCTAGTGGGCTAGTGGGTTGCTGGAAGGGTTGACGGCGGGCAGAGCTCCGTCTTCCTCTTCTTCTTCATCAACATTTTGTGCCAGAGTCCCGTGCACTCTCGGCGCTCTCGCTTTGTATAGCTTCGCACGCACGATTTAAGGATAACGAGGATGGAATGCAGGAAGCGAGGCAAATATTTACACAGTTGGATGATTTAGATAAAGAAGACATGAACATGAACCATAAAACGAAGAAGCCAACAGAGCGGTGAGGCGGCGACTCTGACGGCGCCGGCGCCGGAAGGGGAAAATAAGCCCGAGACATTATAAAAGTGGGCTGGCATTATAAAGGATAAAGAAATTTGAATACAATGAAGAGGATTTGGGAAAGCCGTGATTGCCGAGCGCCACTTCTCGGCTGCCTTTGTGGCGCAACAGGAAACCAACACAAAGCACAAATAAACCAAAAGCCATAACAAATTCCTAACAAAATTAATGCAACTATCGTGTTCGCCCGGCAGCCAACATCGCCAGCCCAACATAATGAGCTGCTCGACACGGCTAACCTGTCAATCAGTCAGTCAGGCCACCAGGTGCAGCTGTGCATGCTCGCTCACCTGGTCGCACGTTTCGGCTTTTGCTTTAAGCAATGCTCGCATGCAAAGCACGAATAATTTATGCAAGCAAACGAAGCGAAGGAATGAAAAAATAAAAGGAAGCAACGTGAATGAGAATGAAACCTAAAATGGAAATGCAAATGCTCAAATGAAAGATAGATAGAGAGAGAGAGAGAGAGAGAGAGAGAGAGTTACAGAGAGAGGGAGAGACAGATGAGGAGAGTGTGTGTGCATATTCCATGTCCACAGGCAGACGACAGCTGCGTCCGGGTTTCGAGTCCTTCTGCCAGTGGCACTGGTTCTAGTTCTAGTTCTGGTTCTAGTTCTGCTTCAGCTTCAGTTTCAGTTTCTGTTTTTAGATGCCAGGTAGCCAGGTGCCGCTTTCTAGCCATGTCAAAGGTGAATATGTGCTCACTTGAAAGCCACACACTTACACACAGAGCCGCCGCACGTGCCAATGGCCCAAATGCACACGCCGCCGGATGGCGCATGCCGGAGCGCATAGCATATGAGCGAAATTCGTCAGCTTCGCACAGCATTTAAATTATTTGTGCTTGTGTCAACATTTGGAATTCCATAAATTTCAGCCAGTCGATGCATACGAAATCGCATCAGGGCAGCAGCAGCAACAGCAACAAAAACAGCTGCCTAGACCCAACCCAGACCCAGTCCCAGTCCACACCCAGTCCGGACCCAGTTTCAGTTTTCAGTTCTAGCCCGAATTCCGCCCACTTGCACTTGTTTATTTATTTGCTCACTCGTTTGAGCATATGAAGCACTGTATTGAAATATATGCGAGTATTCAAATGCACTCTCTATGTCTCTCCCTCTCTGTCTCACTCTTTTACTCGTTGTTCCTGCCCGCTGCATTGTCTCTGAATGCAACTAGAATTTCTGACCGGAAATTGTTTCACAACTGCTAGCCAATTAATTTAGAAAATAATCGAAAACAAGTAAGAAAGCTCTAGTCGAGACTGCTCGACTACGAGATCCCCTGAACCCTTGGAGTGCTAGCTATTTCAATAATTTTTCGCGTCTTTCAGCTTACACAAGAAACACACACACATACAAAAACACATACACATACAAGCACCCACGCATAAACACGCATGGGCTGCAGTGTGCGCTTACTATGAGAACTTAATTGTTTAATAACTTTTTTTGTGGACGTACGATCTTCATGAAACTTTCAGATTATGATTATAACATGAATATGCATGTAATTGCCAAAGCACAAGTCTCTAGTATTTGAAATACGCGTTTTACAAAAGTGAGGGTGAGGGGGTGAATTTAGAGGTGGGGGGTAAATTTTAACAAAAACCGAAATTGTATAAATTGCATATAAGCATACATTNACGGACAGACGGACAGACGGACAGACAGACAGACGGACAGGGCCAAATCAACTCAGCTCGTCACCCTGATCAAGAATATATATACTTTGTGGGGTCTGCCACGCCTCCTTCTGCCTGTTACATACATTTCAACAAAACCATTATACCCTGATTTCCCATTTTCAATGGGTTCAGGGTATAAAAACGGCATTTCGAGCAAAAGAAAAAATAAATAAACAACGAGCGAAAGAGAGTGCAAAATGAATTGTGATGCCCGCAAAATAATTTTTCTTTTCTTTTTGGCTTTTGGGAAAAAATCGAGTAAAATGAACTGAACAATAGCAGAAAAGCGAAGCATAGAAATATGCTCGAATGCATTCCAGCTATAAACTAATCAATTTTTAATAACTAACCAAATAAACAAACCAGCTGCTAAAACCAATAGTAAAAGCAATTATTTTTCAAAATATTTGTTTGATTCGAACTGCATTTAATTTGAACTATTTCAACTCAGCTCTGACTGCACAACGAGCTAAAAAAAATCAATGGAATTATAAATGTGATGCTCTAAGCTTGTTTTATTGTGAATAAAATATATGAAATATATGCAAATGCAAATTTTGATAAATTAGAGGCAATTGTTTTGCAAATATTATTTGAAATGAAATATCGAAATTGAAATAATAATTTATTAGAAATAAAACCTATAAATAATTTGGTATTTTTTTTATTCATATAGAATGAAATAGGAACAGCAAATAGATAAAAATTAATAAACATTATATTTATTAAAATTAATAATTTTATATCACATTATTTAAATAAATCCTACATAGAAATATAAATTTCAATTTAAATTTTAAATTTTGAGTACAATATACAGAGGCGTGAACTATAAAATACATTACCAACATTTCTAGCTTCAATAGCAGCAAAATGTTTTACGCTTATATAGACAAACAGATGGATGGATGGACAGCTGCATAGAGCAATAGACAGCTGGAGAGACAGTGAAACACATGTGGAGAGATATCTTACTTTTTTTAACTTGTATAAAAAAGATAACTTAAATTTAAATTTTCAAAAAACATTTAAAATAAATAAAAAACAAATTTTGAAACTAGTTTAAGGCAAACTTAGATTCTGTTGCATTTGCTGATTGCAAAGCAGAAAAAAATATGAAGAACACATGAAAGTTGTTTAATTTTTGTCACTATTAATAAAATTATATATAATTTTAAATATATACTTTTCGAATATATTTAATGTAGAGATATGAGCAGCAAAATATGAAAGATTAATTAAATATAATATAAAAAATAAACCTCCGTGTGAAAAGAATATGCGAGAGTAAATAACTGAAGTGGAGGAGGAGGGCAAGAAGGAGGATGAGAAGGAGCAGAAGGTGACGAGGGAGGGGCAAGAGAAGGAGGAGAAGTGCCTTACAGTATAAAGAAAAAAATTAAATAATAACATAATATAAAGTATTTATACATTATATTCATATATTAGTATTTACTATATCTGTATATCATTTTATCTCTTCTCTAATATAACATTTTCTCTCTCTTTCTATAAATATAGCTAATATCTAAGCTTTTTGCTTAAATGTATCAAAAATTCAAATGTTTTGTTTTTGTTTTGGCCAAGTCTAGCTCCCTTTTAGGCGCCTCAAATAGGGCACAAAAATAGTTGAGTGACCCGATAGCCTTTTTGGGAATTGAAATGTGGCTAGGCACACTTGCATACATAATTACATATATATGTATCTAGGCATACCTAAAGCATATGCACATACATTAAAGGCGAGCAGCCAACATACATAATCGCATATACATATGTACGATTTGTTGTTATTGTTGTTGTCGTTGCTGTTGTTGTAATACAATAATGTGCATATATAAATAGCAGCACAAAGCAAAAGTTTTGCCCTTATTGTCCGCACTGTGGTTGTTTCTTGCCCACACGAAAAAGGAGAACCGCCAAAAGTCCTTTGTGCTGAATATATTATAGGCAGCGAGCGGCCATATTCAGGGGTTTTCCAAAATACAGTTAAGGCCTGCTTGTGGCTTTTTAAAGTACGACTTTTTGCGGTTCGCAGCTCTTCAAGGTGAGCTCAGATGTGGAGAGCAACTTGAGCTTATGAAGTGGGTGCGAGAAATCGACATAGTTCGATAGGCTCATAAATTATCTAAATTAGTTTTCTTCCGACAGAGATCAACTAATAAATGATATAACACTGCACCACAGTGCCCCACTTTGCACCGCTGGGCTCGAAGCTGTCGGCCATAAGAGTGAGATAAATCAAAGGCAATTACAAACATTCATTATCGTTTACTGTCTGATGGCTGGCTGGCTGTGGACCCCTCTGGGTGAGTTTCTCGCAAAAATCCATATGTATAAGTAATCTACCCACACTTAAGCACACACAGACACACCCATAGGTGTGTTGGCCATCGTATTTGCCTGGCGGCCATCTTCGTAGCTCGGACAGTGTAAATAATTAAGCTTATTTCCCAGCAGTAATTAAGCTGCTTCAGGTGCACAGCCGTACTTCATTAAGTCTTTAATGCAAACTGATTACCCATCGAACCAGCTCCCCAACGACCAGCCCCAACTGCTCCAACTCTTTCCCAAAAACTTAAATAGCTCTCAATATTCTTCGATATTAAATGCAAATAAATTCGAGTGTTGGCCAAGCGCAAGGCTCGCTAATTACACAATAAATTGGAAGTTCTCAGGCCTTGTAAGCAAACAGCAAACAGCAATAACTGTAGCAATACCTGTGCCAGCAGCAGGAATCAGGCAAAGTTGTGTAATCAACACTCGAAAATCGTTTGTAAATGTGCAAAGTTTCTTAATTTGAATTGGGCGCAGATTTCGGCTTGAGATTATGTAAATTCATCATTAAATGTCTATCATGGCAAATTGGTAGAGTTATTAAGGTTTCCTTTAGAGTTGCTCTAATAATCAAGCAAACGTTGCTGGATTTCTGTGAATTAACTGTTGAAAATGTGAAATATACCTTGATGTACATATATTTAATTTATTTCAGTGTAAGAAATTCGATACTAATTCAATATCTGTTTTAAGCAATTGTCATCAGCCATATGGACATATCGATATACAGCAATTTATGTCAATCTTCAAATGCGACTTGAATAATTTTCAATTACAGTATTTTACACTTTAACAAAAATCAAATTTCCATTAAACATACGTAAATCGAGGTTTAGAATTTGAAGACTCTAGCTCTAAAGATGTAGGAGATAGCATTTTATAACTAATTGTACACTTGGTTTTTAATCGATAAAATTGTAGCTATCGATTTTTGTTAACAAACTCGATCTAAAAGAAATTCAAATTTCTAGCTTTTATACAAAATGTCTTCTGAGATCGACACGTTCACACATACGGACGAACAAACAGACAGAGATACAGACAGACAGACAGACGGACAGGGCTATATCTATTCAGCTCGTCGTCTTGATCAAGAATATATATGCTTTATGGGATCTGCCACGCCTTCTTCTTCGTCTTTTACACATTTAACAAAATTATTCTCTCTTTTTCAAAGGGTTCGGTGTATAAAATTTCAAGGGATCCATAAAATGAACACATACAGTCTTAAATTTATTTGATTTTACTATAATTTTCATAAAGTCTCGGCAGTTAGCTACAATTTCTGGTTCAATTCAGCTAATAATTATTTAAATATTTAAAATACCACAAAAAGTAAGACATATTTTTCCTAATATAAATATATATGTTTTACTAATGGAGACATCCAATTATAATTTTACAATACATAAAGTTACTATATATACAAATCAGGTCTGATGATGATAATTTCATGATAACTCCCCCCTGCTGCAATTGCTACAATATTTTATCAGCTAAATCATAATAATTACATACACAATTGATTCCATTTACGCTCAATCAATGTGTAAACAAATAAAATTCGTTTATTCGAGCAATATTTTCAACAATTGGTTAAGAGATTGCATCATAGCCAATTTGTCATTGGGAAATGCATACGAAAGCAAAATGAAATACGACTGATTTATGCAATATATTGTCAGCTATTGATGTGAATGGATATTATTATTTTAATTTATGAATTGCCTAAGCTTGGCCTTAGGCTATTCAGTGTCGCTTACCGTCGGAGTCGATGAAGTACTGTGGTAAATTAATTCAAATTGGCTCGTATAAAGTTTTGCCGCGTAAAAGTAATCCGCTGGAGCAGTCGATTTAATTGCGAAACATTTATCTCAATTTTCGGTAGCGACACACTTGAATTTTCACTTTGCGTTCACAAGTGCCTGGAAGTGCTTATTTAATGCTTTATTCATTCGCTGCAAACATTTGCACATCCACCAAATTCATCAGGGCTGATTAAAGATGCATGCTCCGGGTACTCGGGGAGTCGGTTGTCGGTTGACGGGTGTGTACGGGTGTGCGGGGGTCGTAGCAGTCGTGTTTCTGCTAGCCCGAGGTGCGAAGACTTTGTTCGCTTTTAATTTAAGTCTGGTTGACAAAAAAACAACAAAGTAAACAACAACGGCAGCACTACAGACACATATACAGACACATATAAATGTATATATATGTATATATGTATATCGTCTACATATATATCCCGCGGGCCGCAGATAATGTCATCCGATTGTGGAGCCGCGCGAGAGCAGAGCGCGCGACGATATCAACAACAAACACGTAAAACGACTACGCCGTAGACGACTACGGCAAAGAGGCTGCGACTACTACGGCGTAGACGTACCAACTGTTTGGCTAAGTACTCCGCAGACGACGCCACACGGCACCCACAGCTGAAACCGCCAGCGACAACTTTCACTGCCTAGCAGTTGGGGCAGGATGCGAGCGGGTGGCAGACAATCTCTCTCTCTGTGTGTGTGTGTGTGTGTGTATTCTCAGCACTTGACACAAGATAAACAATTTGTCTCTGCAACGCGCGCGTCCAAATGGCCAGCTGGACTTGCCGCCAAATACCTGAACAGAAGCTGAATCCGAATCGGAGGCCGAGCACTGCACTGCAGCTGAATTAGGTGGGCCTGAGTCGAACTGCCTCGACCGACTAGATTGACTGACTGACTGACTGACTTGGGCGCAGCTACACTGGCGTCCCAGCATTGCCACTAGCGGAGCACATCTCACTGCCGAGCTATCCCGTTTGGTGAACCGTTCCGTCAAGAGCCCAGCGCGCAACTGATTCGCCAAGCACCAAGCTCTGCACTGCCATGGCCCAAACACACAAACCCATCTGCTGCTGCTGCTGTGGATGCTGAGTTCCATTTGGCCGAGTCTGCGCAGAGCACTCGAATCGAATCTCTTGTCTCTTAAATACTGGGTACAGTTCCTGTGCTTTGGTGTTTTAGATGTGCATTGTAAACAAGTCACTTGACTTAGGTTGGGCATATTAAGGCCTAGCCGTGTGTTTAGCCTCCGTTAGGTACTTTCTTTGATGATAAAATGATAAATATATTTTCTATTACGTTTTTGCTATATTTTATAATTGCATATGAAAATGATGTATACTAAAATATATAAATGAAAGGTAAAATATAATTTAATTATTTTTGATGTAAATAATCTTGTATAAAAAATTCATATGTATTTGTAAATTGTAAATATGTAAAATGTAAATTCATATATTTTTGTATTTGTAGTATATACACCTATACATTATACAGAATACATAACTTGCAATTTTGTAAGTGTAATTGAGAATCACATAGAAAGGCGATTCAGTTGACTTTTAAATTGTGGAATGATTTTCTAATCCTTTCTACTCATCTTTCTTCTTGTCATTTGTCACAATATTTTATTTAGTTGTACTTCATTACTTTTAATTTTTTTGTATTTTTTTTTTTAATTGTAAAACATTATTTTATTTTTATCTTTTTCAAAAATATTATTTTTTACTTATTTTAGGCCACTCAAGAGATTTTAAATTATTATTATTATTTTTTTTTTACCTTCAAAATGAAATAATATTGTTACTATTTCTACTTCACACTCTCGATTTTTAAATATTTATTCAGGCGATCTCGTAGTCTAGCAGTCTCGACTAGAGCTTTCTTTCTTGTCTTACTGTAAGTTGTATTAATCAATTTTCTTTATTAAATTTGCATCACACACATTCTACACACAGCTCGGCTTGATTGACTGATTTGCCAACTCAACAACAGAGAGCAGACTCATATTAACTAGTACATATAATATTTATATTAACTCCTACATAGTATAGAGTCCATGCAGGTTGAGGCAGATGCTTGAGATTTCGCAGTAGATTCATTAAAAATTCGACTTTTTCCTTTAGCCGATTAAGAGCTAAGCTTTGCTTAAAGTAACTTCAGAAGGGTAGCCAATAGCAATATCTCCGACTTACTTTCGTTTTAAAGGTCACAAGTAATGCCCTATTCATATTTCTCAGCTGCCTCATCACGACTTCTGTTTTCATTTAGCAAATGTTATTCATCGGGTCCATTCGTAAGATAATATGGATAAATGCAAATCTTATTTTCACATTTTCTATGGCCAACAGCTGGCTCAGAGTAACGAATTTTCCAGCATGGATTGCAGGAATTCTGAAAAAAGAAAAGAAAATTCGATTGTTTTCTTTCGTTTTCCTTTGGTGGTGCAAAAGCAGTTTAAGTTTGGCTTTATGAAACTAGCTGGACATGGCCGTAGGCAAAACAAATTTGCATACACGTTTTCAATGTTTTCAATGGAACAAGTATATTGGGCAAAAAAACAAGAGCAGCAATGAGTGGGAGCGAGAGAGAGAGAGAGAGGGAACTAGAGAGTGAGAGAGACTGGTCGAAAAAAAAAAAAAAACAATCAGCCGTGAAGCTGTGGCCACAACGGCCGTCCGAATACGTACGCTTGTTCACGCTCGTTATCCTTGTGGCGTATGTGTATGTGTATGTGTATGTGTATTTGTATTCGTATTCGTGTACGTATTTCGGTGTTGCCAAGGTCCACACATATTCAGCAGAGCGTCGAGCACAATACGCCTGGGGCCTTATTTGGTTACCGTTCAATGCACCAGGGACTCTTCTCCTATGTATGACAAACAAACATAAACATTGTGTGCCGAAATGGAGACCGTAAAGTATCGCATATTCAGCTCCTTAGCCAGAGCAGAGTGTGAGAAAGAGAGAAAGAGAGAGTGGGCAGGCGGGGCCGTCGGACCGAGGCTGGAAGTGAGTGAAGGGTCGCTGCCATGTTTGCGTGGAGCACTCTAATTAAAATTTTTGCCCCCGGCTGCAGTGCACCCAAAATACTTTACGAGCTACAAGTCGAAAAAAAAGAAGAATAGAAGAAAAACAAAAATAGTAGAGCCAAACTAAACTAAACAAGTGGCAAACAGCTTAATTTGGTCAAGTCAGGGAATGTAATAAACTCGCGCCCAAGGCGCATTATTATGACCATGTCTGTACTTTGGCCAAATGAAATTATGGTCCCGTTTATGCCAGTGTAATTTGAATGATTTTACAAAACTCTGCGAATTGCTCCAAGTTGACTAAACTGACTGACTGAGCTGATTTATGGCTTAGTTGGCCTTAATATGCAAACACTTTTGAATACCTGACTCTAACGAGCCGTTTGACAGGACATTAGCATACATCAACTCACACACACACACCCACACAAAGGCACAGACACACACTCGCACGTGTCATAGTCCAATCATAACAGGGATATATAGAAGCTAAGCTATCTGTCGAGGCAGTTGAATTTCAATGAAACTCTCTTAGATTTCCATTCCACAGAATTTCATTCATGACACTCAACAAACAATTTTAATGTAATAACAAGGAAGAAGAGCCATTCTTGACGGTAAACAAGAAACCAATTATGCTTAACTTGACAAAACTTTGTACCCCCTTTTATTTTATTTTATTTTTATTTTTTTACAAAGTATCAAACAGAAAAGCGTTTGAAGACAACTTGGCTCAAATGCCACATCAATTATCTGGCGGAATGTTCACTTGGGTACATATTTGCATTATATTGTAAAAGGTCTTTGATCCAGCAAACATCAACGTCTGGAAAAAGAAATTAGAGTTTTTTTTATAAGAGATTAGGAATGAAATTTTTAATAATTTGTTAAATATT